CTAATCTGTCTAGACTTGATCAGCCAGGATGTTTCGCTCTAATCCCCACTGCCGAAGGCTGACACTGCACTAACAGCGGCAAGCCTGTGAGCACACAAACATCCTGCTGTTACTCAGCAGTGGGATCATAAGAGATGTCTCATAATAGAGCGGTCTCATGTCAGCAGCTTCTCTAGTTACTGTGAGTGGACTGAGCCGCTTATTTAATTTGCCATCTTTGCCGGTATATATATATATAAAAAGTACACCCCACATGTCTTCACATGGTCATCATGAGTCATGTTTTCCCCCCCACTTGGGATGCTTCCTCCCTTACAGACGTCAAATCGTACAACGCACTGCATTCGTCAACTTTGTCATATGACTCAATGCAAAGTCATCTTGATGCTATTTCAACTCGAGTCAACCGCCTGGCAACAGAGAGGTCGATGGCTTGATGGACCTGCTGCTCTGTTATTGCTAGCAACATCATCTTTTACCTTCTGACTCCAAGAAAGCAGTCCATTTTTGGCTGTCTCAAACTCTAGTCAGAAGCCTTCAAATCAGCAGAGCATTGTACTCCCCAGGACACTCAAGTGACTAAAATGTGACCTAAGAAACAGCAATACTGAGAGTTCCCCTCGGATACTTAATTTTATGTCAGCTGACGCTGCAGCAATTTCACCAGCTACTCTGACAATGTATGATCAAACATAAAGTGCCTATGAACTGTGATTATAGTTATTAACTCATGTTTATGTAGCTAATCAATAGACTTTACCAATAACTCTATCAAAGCTATTGTTCGCCATATGCGTTTTTCTACTCAACTCAAATTAAATGACATCACAATCTCAATCTTGTTAAAATAAAATGTCTTAGAGAAAAATGTCTTACAGTAGAGAAAATAAAATGTCTTAGAGAAAAATGTCTTACAGTGGAGAATAGCAGTCACATAACTTCTTGACTATAAGTCACTGCTTTTTTCACTAGACTTTGACTTGATGAAAAGCACAGCACGCGCTCAAGAGTGGAACTGCCCAAAGAGTCAAAAGTGACATTGAGAATGACAACGAAAGAGAGACGGAGGAAGTGTGAGGCTACTTAATTCCAACACTGCATACAAATACTTTAGTGGTTTTACTGTGCAAGAGGAGGACGAAGACACCGATCAATGACTTTTTGTGGTGGGCCACTGTACTGTATTTTCTGAAGCAGCCATGTTACAGGCATTGTAGAGAAAAAGCATTTAAGGTACAGTCATCAATACATATTTTATTAAAAGGAAAAATATATATATATTTCTGTGGAAATATCTCTTGCTACAACATGGAGACCTGCAGCTTACAGATAAGTGTGGCCTATTTATGTACACTTTGTTTTTTCCTTTCAAAGTTAGTGTGTGCAGCTTATATTTAGGCGCACTCAATTGGTCAGGAATTAAGGTATTTGCAATGTTCACTTTTTGTTGTTGTCAAACTTTGCAGAGGTTTGACAAGTTATGACAAGAATTGTTGACATTACATAAGGACTCAAATTACACCCTGTGTTAATTTCTTTTTCCCCAACTTAAAATCAGCATTATAGCGCCAGGTAAATGATGGCAACACTCCTGCTACATAAAGATATAACAGTATGTAAATTCTGCATCATGATTATTATGGATAAATTTTAGTTATCAGCATAAATATAATTAACAAATCATATACAATAGCTATAGAGAATTTCATGCAGAACATTCCATTTCTGATCACTTTTTGTGGACCATGTCACTTTTGCAGTTTGTGTTCTGTTGTCACTGTTTTGGAAGAGCAAGAGTCCCAGAGAAATGTTGACTAGTTGATATTTGAATCATTTGTTCTTTGATATGGAGGTAATGGGTATTTCTGCACAATGTTTAAACCACATTGGATTTAGTTTTTTATTTGTAAATATTTATTATCTGCCCTCTAACACAAAATGTCAACATGGGATGAAATGTAAAATGATGGGATTACAAAAAAAAAGGTTTTGACTGAAATAAAATAACGTTTGTGCCAATTAATATAGCTGTTGCAGGTGAAAGAAAGCAGTTTTAACAAAAATATCTTAGTCACCAGTACCACCACTGTATTGATTAGGTAAAAACCAAATGATTAATTCCAAAATGATCAATAGTGATGCAACAAAAATTCATTCAATTAAATTTTATGAAGTGTTTTTATGTACAAATGACAAAGAACGTGATGGCACACAACAGTCAATTTTGTCAAAACTGCCACCAAATTATACACACACACATGCAGAGACACACTCATTTGTGTTATTCAGGAAGCAGGTCATGTTTTTCCATACAAGCCTAGGAGGTCCTGAGAGCAGGGACTTCCTTTGCCAAAGGGCCAAATTCCACAAGGTCCATGACCATTAACCCACCCAGGGTGACTCAGACCCCCTGCATCCCCTTTGCTTCACAACAACCATGCACTCTGCATAGAGTGAAAGTCTTGACTTCACAACCATGTGCTAGGTCTGTGTCACTGCCAGGAGACTTCTAGAAGCATCAGACGTGTCCGCTGGCTCTGTTTCTGCCAGGGATGTGTGAATTTTTCTGTTTAGATTCAAAAGATGTGCAAAGAAAAAGTGAAACTAACACGAGGGGGATGCATGCTAAAATACCAATTTCATTTTAGTTTAGTATTACTTTCCCACTTAAATTCACCACAATAGTCATATTTAAACATTTTACTATATCATCAAGGAAAATGGTCATGTTGAACCTCCATTCTGGAGAAATTCTCTGTCAATTTGAGTTGACAGAGAATTTCACCACAGAACTCCTTGTTATGTGACATTTATAGATATCAAGTATCTGATTTTAAACAAATTAAAATATGTTATCCTGGTGTTGTTACCACTTGAGCATGTTAGATCAAGGGAAACTTTTAGTGTGTAGCTTTACGTGACCCCTAGTTCAGTTCAGTACAGCAAACATAGAAATAAATCAGCACCACAGCTATTGCTCTTGACTTGGTATGCACTTAATGAGCTTTTTGAAGTCTCATTAGAATCCACACCCTGCCCCCCTTAAACTCACACGCTTTCATGAGCTTTTCACCCCCCTTCTCCAACTCTGAAACGTGTGCCAGCCCTCTATTGTCTGACAGTGTGGAGACATGCAGCTGCCTGCTGTCTGGTCTCCTGAAAGCCAGAAAGAGAATCAGCGACACACTGACACGCGAAACAGGGGTTAGTGGTGCATGGGGGTGATGGAGACACACAAGGCAAAGGCGTGGACCAGTCATAAAGAAGTCCACTCCTAAGTGTTATGGAGACCTGGAAAGTGAGTCAGGCTGTGTTTGGAGTGTGCTGGAATTTACATCCCTCCTCTGTTTGGCGTCTATAAATTCTAATCTGGCCTATAATTGATGAAGTTATTGCGGTTCAGGTAGGCATGGGAAATTACCAATTCAGTCGACATTGATTTTGATCTCTGGCTGGTTTATTGGCGCATCTCCGTAAATCAGTCAGGCTCATCTGCTTAAGAAAATTCTGGACTTCACGACATAGCAGAGATGCCACCCATGGCTTTGACAATTCTAGTTTTAGAAATGCGTTACCTTAATGAGAGTGATGGTTGAGGCTCCTCGAGTTTCCAAACCATGACTGCTCATGTTTTGTTTTTTCTCTCGTTTTTTTTTTTTTTTTGGAAATGCTTCCAGGTAGCTGAATTTGCCTTTCTTGTGTGGAACAAAAAGAAACCTGGTTGGAAGTGCACAACAACAGGTGTGTGAGGCACAGACAGACTCGCTTCTATAAAGCCAGAGAGAACTCTGCGCTTATTCTGGCGGCTCGTTAAAAGAACTTTAAACTGCAGGAAAAGTACAATGAAAGATTTAAGCAGATTTGACAATGCAAATTTATGTCATTGATCAATACCTATTTTTAGGGGGTGAGGCAAGCTTTAGTTTGTCCATGCTTCACTACTTTTGCTAACTGGAGGTGCTTGAAAACAAGTTAGTCAGTAGCTGATTAAAGTCTGGACCCTATAACAAAAGTTAATCATCCTTAAGTAGGCACTTTGTACTGACTCTTTTACTCATTCAACCCAAATCAGTGTTGTTCCTGGTTGGCAGCATAGTGTGGGCCTCTCACTGGCCCACATCCAACAGACCACAGAGGAGGGAAGACAGCTCTGCCCACGAATGGCATGAATAATAGCGGACATACAGTGATCCATGTCCAGGTACACCTTCAGATCTGTTCTGTTCTCGGTCCCCACGTGGCTTTCTGGTCAGTTTCTCAGCTCAATCTGTCCTCCAGAAAAAAATGCACCCGAAACATTTTTGACCAAATCTGGCCAAACCCGCTGAATCAGAGCAAACCTGGGTATCAAGCAGTGAAGTGAAGCCACACCGCAGCCAAAAGCATGCCGACACTTCGCGTCAGCTGCACGAATTTACCGCAATTTCTTGGATATAAAAATGACCCGAAAAACTGCGCCGGTATAATACGGTTTTAGTCTACTTAACTTGTAAAACAATAGGGGGCGGGGGGAACATTTTAGAAACTTTAATTGTTCTTGCTTATTTTTCTGTCCATTTTACAAATTCATACATGAAGTTATCGGCCAGGGGATGAACTCAGAATCTGCTTCTTTGTGTAAACAACATTGTTTAAAAAAAAATGAAAAGAAATAGGACATCCACCGAGCCCTGCAGACCAGTTCTCTTTCTGTTCTCACTGAAGCCTGGAAGAACTGCAAACTGGAAGTAGTGCTCTCGGAAACCATCGCGTTAAAATGACAGCCGTCTCCCCGTGTTTTAGTCTTTCCCACTGGTGTTAAAATCTTGGCGTTGACCCGCATCAGGCCTCGGTGAAGTACTGAAGAGAACAGACCCGGGATCTTTACACTGGGTCCCCCGTGCCTGGCCTCCTCCAATCCGTCCCCGTTATTTCACCGTGTTTTTTTTCTTTCCGGGTAAAATAATAATAAAAAAAACAGAGCCAATGCTGTTATTGCTTAAGCTTTAGACGCCACTCACCTGAATAAACTGGATAGTCAAGGCTGATTTCCCGACGCCACCGCCTCCGACCACGACCAGACGGTACTTCTCCTGCACCGAGCCGTCCTTCCAGCCAGCCATTGAGGACACTTCGCGCCGCCGCGGCCGAAACACCAGTGAGCAGCAAACACCCACTTTCCCCTCGCACGCTGAAGAAGACGAGGCCCTGCAGTGGAGGCACCAGAAGAGGGGACAGGCCCGCGTATTGCGCTGGAACAGCTGGTCAGTGTCGTCCGTCCACTGCTCGGGTGGTGGTCGGAGAAGGATGAAGGAGCGACGGCCGCCTGTCCATACGCCTGACCGCTTTCCAGGCTCGACAACACTGCGCTGCTCAAGATGTGGGTCCGATACTAGGAGTAATCAAACAGGCCAATACTACCGTCTACCGCTAGGGGCAATGGCGACTCCCCCAGGCACACTTTTACGCTCAACGACAGCCCTCCCAATATCACGCACCTATCAATCACGTTCTCGCCCCCAGACATGTTTTCTTACTTATGTAGCCTAGTCTGCGTTCATAATTAAAATCTAAAGCAGAGTAGTCAACTTTTGAGCAGAGGTTGGAGTGAGACGAGTAAAAGGAAAATGAACAAATTAAGACAGAGTAGTTTAACTCTGCGTCACAATGGAGGAAATGCCCAACGGTGCAGTCAACAATGATCATTAAAACACCCCAAACTCCGAAACATGAAAGCTAAAACATAATTTATAAAACTAGGGTTTTACAAGTTGCTTTTCTCTAATAGTTATGTAACTTCTCACTTACGTTCATTCAAATTAAAAACCACATCTCTTAGTTTATTCTAGGTATCTCCAAAACACACGTTTCATTTCATTTTCAGCGACTTATGTTGAACTCGAAACTTACATTGAAATTCTTATGCAAGACTAACTTTACAGTGTTCAAAAGCACTTTGTATGCCTTAAAAAGAGTCATGTGCTAAGTTATGACAAATCATGTGGCAGGTCCGAACTCGTGTCTGCTGCAGCGCCACCCAGTGTCGAGAAGGGAGAAACTCTGCTGTACTGATGCTTAGCGGTCAGTTTAGAAATTTGGTTCTTTTTTTTTTTTGTAAATTTATGTGATTTGTATAAGCATTTCCAATCTAGGTATAAATTAACTTACATGTTTGCTTAACTTCTGGGCAACAGAATAAAATGCAGTATTTCTTGTGAAGAATGTTAATTATCCGTTTTAAAGTGTAAAATATTTCAGAAAAACAGAAGCTGTTTCAAACGGATCAAAGCAGTTTGCTCTTCCTTTTTGGTAGCAACACTCACCCTAAGATTGATATGCACACTAAATAAATAAAAATAGAGACTCCACTTTGAACACAGTAGCTGGAAAGCTGCAGAGCTGCCAGACGGCCCACTGTTTATTTTCACAGCTGAAGTTCTGACCTCAAAGCAACCTTGCCGCCTTTATCTAACCCCCTGTAGGAACAGATTCTCCAGATACTTTAACTGTATGAGCAGGACTGTGACCCTGTGGCCCATTCCCAGAAATATACCTTTCCTCATGAATTATAAACAGGAGGGCAAATGAAACATTGACGCCTGCGCAAAAGCCGTCTCATTAATACAGCAATTTCAAAACTTGTAAATTGCTGATTATATTCTACGCAACTGCTTCATATTCTACGTGAACTACATGTATGCCTTGGATTGGTGTTTTAGTCCCTATGGAGGTACTGATAGGACAAATACCAACTGGCTTCAAACTGTGCAAGATATCATGAGAGGAATGTGAGGAATTCTAATTAGTACCTGGAGGTATGAAGCTGGACACAGAGTCCTCTTAAAGGGCAAAACCACCTTTAGGCAACTGAAACCATTCTCTGGAATCCGTTCTAAACATTTATTTAATTGGAGGCACTTGTAACTTCAATATATGTTTATTCAAAATTAACAAGGACAGGAAAAAAGAAAACAGATGTAGCGTTTAGAGAAATGTAAAAAATAAATGGGGGGACAAACGCAGCAAAGTATTAACATTACTGACTTCTTCTTAGGGAGATGCAAGGGTGGCAAGACAGATGTCAAGAGAAAAGCAGACATATCAGATATTAGCCTTTTTTTGAGAGAGGTTGATCTTATCACCGAGGCTCAGTGCCATTCCCTGTGGAAAGAAAAGATTTATTACAACACAGACAGAAAACAGGAACATAAAAAATAATGTAAAAATAGGTAAGACATTCTCACATTCCTTATTTGTACCCATTTCTACATTGAATTATTACTTTAATATTAAGCTACAATACAAAGCAGCCATATGGCTTGAATTCAGAATCAATAAATTCAGTCGAGCTTTTAGTTCCCAGATTAATACCAAGTTGATGTACAGCAGTTGTGACCCACCTGACTTTTGGCCCTAATGCGTATGTGTCCGGTGACCGGTGCATCGGGCCCCAGGTGAATGGGCTTCTCGATGCTGACGTTAGCCAGGGCATCTTCCCCAAAGATGGAGCGAGCATACAGATTAGCGGCCATGAAGCCACAGAAACCGGAGAGTGCCTGATTTATTTCAGAAAACAAAAGAAAAGAGAATGTGAATAAAATCTTTTTGGGAATAATGAATTAATAAAACTACGTAAAATGGAGGGATGACAAATACAAGAAATTACAAGCAAGCAAATACACAAACATCCCAAAAAGTATTATGTTGTTTAAAATCAAGCAGAGGACAAACAGCTTGTTGAGTCTTGTGTTTATAGTAACTCACCTTTTCAGGAGTCAAACACTTCATGTTCGTGGACTTAAGGATATGCTGAAGATATTCATTCAGATCAGTGATGTTGGTGTTTACTGTGACCTGCAATCAAGACAGGTTTTGGAATTACTTGTTGTTAAATGGAAACAGCATTTCTTTAAATAAGGGCGGGAAACACTTGAAATTCCCAGATGCTGTTGATCTATTAGAAACACAAAACTTACCTTGTTTTCCCATTCAAACTCTGCCCACATCTGTCTGAACTCTGCATCTGTGCAGGAGGCTGGCTGGATGTAATCCATGATGTCAATATGAATGTCGCTGAGGACAACACAGTTTCTGTCGCTAGCAGCTCCGGACACATCATAGACTGCGGAAAAAGAATCAAATTAAAAACACACACTAGCAAAATATAAATTAACTTCCGGACATTCTTCTCTTACCAATGTTGCCAAATATAATCCCATTCTCGGTAGAAGCTACCTTGACATTAGCCTTTATGTTTGCAAAATCATGAGGGGCCAGAGTTAGAGGGGAAGGTTTTTCAACCAACTTGAGATCCCCTGAGGAATAAAATAAAACACTCAATTTAGAAGAATAATACAGAAAAAGGAAACAAAACCAGATCAGAAGGGAGTTAATAAAACAAACCTAAAGTGGCCAACTCAAGAGTGCAGTTCTGAAGAGTGTCGCTTGTTTGGTTGACCACCAGCACATCCAGCACAATGTCATACTGGTTAACATGGACATAGGCTTCAGCGTACACTGGGTCTGAGAATCCAGTCAGCTGGGTCACCTAGTTAGACAAAAGTGTATTTAATCATCATGTTTGATGCAATTACTGGCATTCATTTAGAGCAGAACAGCACAACAATATATCCAGGAGCAAGTCATTATATATTTCATAGAATAACCTATAACTTGAAAAATATAATCATGTCTCAATAGTTGTGTACCGGTAATTTTTCTTAATGCCCAAAAAGTACAGCACCCTCCTGGTTAATGAATAGATAGGTGAGCTTTTCAAACTCAAAGTGCCAAAGTATTGTCCTCTGTATGCGTCTCAGCAGGGCTTTGTGGCTTACCTTATTGAGTTTTGATGCAAGTGGGTCAGCAGCCTCCTTCCTCTGAGTGTTACCCATAGCAGCCAGCAAGCTCAGCTGAAACTGGTCCTCCTTAGAGGTCATCTCATTTTTGGCTGTGAGTTGCATGAAGGAGATCGGGTCGTCTGCTTGCACGGTCACGTTTCGTTTCTCAGATTCTTTCTGTGATCAGGATTATTATGGATCATCCTTTATCTGCTTCATGACCATAGCTTTGAAATGTGTTGTGTACTACTACTACAGCATAATTCAAAAATATCTGGAGACACTTGCTCATTTTATGTAAATGACAAAGTATGTGTTCAAACTTTGGAATGATGCAGAAGCTACGTGAATGGTACTAGGTGAAATATTGCTGTTATCACTTTCTATAAATCCATACTACCATCTGTGACTATAATTCTATGTTATGATTAACAACATGAGCAAGAATAGAGGTGTCAAAACAAACTGGCTACAAATATTGCTTTTGTTAAAAACAAGAAATTTCAGTGATCTTCTTCCTGTCATATCACTGAGAAATGAATACAAATGATTTACAATTAAAACATGAATCCAAATGATTGTAAGTTCTTATATTGTGACCAGAACTGTTAAAGGGCTCTAGTGGCATCTTTGTTAATGTAATGAAATAGGACACACAGTTGAAAAAGTATGATGTTCAACCAGATTTTGGCAGTCTTATCAAAATGTTGATCAAATTAGTATGTTAATGCCCATCTTTTTATTATTATTATAAAACTATGTAGAAAAAAAATATTCAGCTAGAATAAAGCACCTCCATGAAAGAGCAAAAATGTTCAACATAAATTTCCCTTTAAATCTACAACTAAGATGACGCTCCTCTTCTAAATCTAGTTTTAGACATTTTTCCTTTCTAACATGTTTTTATTATTGCACCTCTCTAAAGTTCAACACTTTGGTCTGTCCTTGCTTTTTAAAAAAAAAAGTGTATGACAAATCAAGTTGACTTCACGTAAAAAAACAAAACAAGAACATAAAAATGTGATTTCTTCCTGAACCTATGATTCTGAGGTTAAATACAGCGTTCAGCCCAGTGACTCAACCACCATTACCTTCTGTGACAGCTTCTCCTCCTCCAGCCTGACAGTGAGCATATGCGACAGGGATCTGCGGCATTCCTTGTTGAAAATGTCATTCATAAGTGGTGAGCACTCTGACAGGACCTTCAGGCACAACGAGATGCGGTCCACATCATCATCTGTAATTGGCTTCTTGGGCAGTGAGGACTTGCCCAGGTGAAGCACTGTGACCATAATCAGCATGGCTTCAGCTACAAATGACTGAAAATTCACAGAGAGGGGGAGGGATTAGAGAAATAAGCAGATGGCTTTGAAACAAATAAAGGGTTGTACAAGTCACTTTATCGGCGGAATAACTTACATTTTGTTTCTGTTTGTCTTGAACAATTGAAACGTAACGCAGGGCCAATTTGGTGAGTGTTGTGGCTAAGGAAGCCGCCACAAAGAAGTCTCCATCCATTAGGAAGCCTCGGAGTGGTGGCCTGGGAAGAAAAATAAAAAATACAGAT